TTCTTTTGCTACGTTTTCTTCTTGGTAGATTTAGAACTAATATTCACCATTTCTTATTAAAAACGGTGGGAAGAAGTGGCTTGTTTAGATATTTAGATAATGCGTCATTTTCATCAACCTACTTGAATCAGTTTCGTGCACATTATCATGAACTACTAATTACTTTCCTGTTGCCTTCAATTTTTTTATCCCTAACGATGCTACATAAGGTAGTCCTTTATGTGGCTGTGCTATACAAAAATTCCGGTTGTATTTTGGCTCTTGAAAGTTTTTTTGTTATTGATAGGGACGAGATAGCTGGATGCAGCGAGAAGGCATATGACAGCCTTTCCATAAAGGACGCGCAGCAAATTCTGCTGTTTTCTTCAGATCATGAACTAGTTGAATACATTAAGAAGGTAAGTGCCTTTCAACACATTGCTCCAAACCTTCACTCTACATAACCCCAGCACTAATGGGGTAAACAAGGTTCCAAATTCGGCCTTCTGGTAATTAAATGGGAGCACTAATTGCCTGTTTGGTAATGTAGATGATATAATACATGACAATATTAAAGATGAAACCGAAGTTAAAATCTTGTTTATTAAAATGTTAAACCTTGTCTAGTATGACGAGCTTACCATTTGCAATATGCAGGAGCATCCCGAGTGGGAGACCGAGAATGGGTTTGTATTTTTCCAACGAGCCAAAGAATCGGTGCCTTGCAAGGAAATTCCATCTTTGCAACTCATCAATCAGACACTCAGTTATGCAAGGGAATTGGAGCGCATTGTGTGAGGGAGTGCTGCTCTGTGTTTGTTTGTGCTTCCATTTTCTTTATATTTGGTGGCTAATCGCTTTGTAGTATTTCTTAACTACATCACAAAATCCAGAATGACAAAATACTAAAACGTTGTTGGATTATTATTATTATTTTTTTTTCGCATTTAGTTGATTTGAATCCATTTTTCGTATTTTATTGTGTTCCTAGGCTGCTGCAATTCTTATGTGGTCCGAACCATCCATCCAAATTAATTGAAAGAAATTTCTAAAGATGCAAATTTGAGGCAACAACTATATGGTTAAAATCAATAGAAAATGAGAATTACTTTGAGGCTGTTCTCTTTGTATTTGAGTTTTCACTGTTTTGGAAAATAAAAAACATAGTTTGAAAATTGTAAAGAGAACGGATCCTTATTTTTTGTTTATTATCATTTTTCTAAAATGATACATGATAAGGCAACAATGTCAACTTTTACAAGCTTAAGCGTAATAAGACATTTTTCTATTTTTAATTTCTTTAAAATTATTAAATAAATAAATAATGCTTATATTTAAAGGAGCAATGTTAGGGGTACATGTGAGAGTTATGTACACCATTATGTACAACAAGAATAATCTCATTTAAAGTATGCGTTTTTTAAGAATAAAATTTAATATTGTTTTTTGTGATCTACTTTCCAAATTTCTATTTATTAAGTTTTCGTTCATTTTATTAATTTATTTGACGTTAATTTTTTTTTTTTAAAAAAAGATATAAAAAAAAAAGAAAAATTAGAAAAAGGGTTCATCGCCTTCTCATTCGCAGGACTTTTTCCTCTCTTTATATCGAAGCTCTCATTTTGTCCCTTTTTTTTGAACATTGCTGTATATTGATTATTTAGATTAATGTTGAAGTTGGATTACAAATACGGTGCAAAAATTCTTGAAGAAAAAAAAAAGTTCTAATTTTATTCCTTATTTTGTACATCACTATTTAACAACATATAATACACGTACAAAACCTTGTGGGATGAGGACAATGTGAAGGAGGTGTAAAGTCACGAACGCCAATAGATTAGTTGTAGTGGGCACAATGTCAAATGTTGTCGTTTCTCTTTTTGTTTTTCTTTACTTTTACACTATAAGAAAGCATTTATTTAAGTGATGGGAACCCCAATTATTTTGTATTTTTCTTGAAGGCGACCTTTTAATTTATTTTTATCGTTACAAAATTCTATTACCGAACTCACTTGAGATTTTATTTCCTGCCCGACTTTTAATGGGTCTAGTATTTAAATGAGATTAAAAATAAAAAAATATAATAAAATAGTAAGAAGTTCAACCCTAGAAAACACCTCTCTTGCATGAGAGTTTATTTTCCGCTCAACCTTTGCCAATGTTTGGTAGAAATTAAAATTAAAATTTTGATTTAAAATCAACAATAAATTTTAATCATATTTTATGAGATTCACAAATTTTTAACCACATATTTCATCAATTTTTTTCCTCATCAAATTGGGGCTTAATGTTTTTAGAAGATGGGTTTTGCTATACAAATAGGGCCACGTCGGCCATGTTCGTGACAGGGGTGGCCATGTTCGTTTCAGCTTTATTGTTAGAAGATTAAGCCCATGTTAGGTGGCTATTTTTTTAGGAAAAATATTATTTTAAATAGTGAAATTTTGAAAAATGCGTGGTTATAAAATGAAAAAAAAAATAATTTTACGTGTAGAATATTTTATTTTTTGAATATGAGATTGAAATTAAAAATGTAGAAAAAAGAGTATTGAAAGAATGAGACCAGAAAGGACATGCAAGGGGTAGTGTGGAAGAAGGAGATAGTGTTCAAATTAAAACAAGAACTTTGAAAATGATTGTTTGAAGATAAACTTTGAAGATAACCAAGAAAGATAAAATTACAAGAATTTCAAACTTTATTGAGATATTAAAATAAATCTTAGCTATTTTCGCTCTGTCTAAATCCTCAAAATGAGGTGCTATAAATAGCTGAGGTTTTGGATTTGAAATTACATTGAATTGAAAAATAAGAATTTTGAACAGTTGATTGATTGAAGTTGTCTTCCACGTGTTGTCTGCCATCTGTCATTTGTTTGTCTTCTTTTGAAATATTATCTTCCTTCCCGACTTTTTGAAAGATGTCTATTAAAGTGGTTTTAGTAAAATTTATTGTCCTTTATGTGTCGGCAAGGCTGACAAGAATAATTTGTTAGCTGGCAATCACATGTTGAAAAGCATTTCTTTTGATTTTTGAGCCTGGTAATTTCTAAGATCATCGAGAAAACTAGGTCCATGTAATTATTTTGATGGAGAGTTTCTTTGAGTTTCTTCTTCAATAAGGTCATCAATATTATATACAAAGCACATATCTTCATTGCTTTGTTCATAATCTTCCGAATCTGAAGAAGAATAGTTTGAAGTTGATTTCTTTGAAGATACCTCTGCAAGAGCTGCAATTTTGTCTGAGACCATTTGAAGTTCTTCTGGTGTAGAACATTGATTGAACATTGCTAAAAGCCTATATTTTTCAGCAAGGAAATCGGCTTTCTTATCTGATTCTTTTTTAGATAGTTTTGGCATACCAACATTTCTTTGTTCTTGAATCTATGAATTAACTGTTTTAGGGCAACAATTTGTTTCATGGAATTTTGACCACCATTTTATTTTGAAACGTCTAACAATTCTTTTGACGTTGTAATCTTAGCGGAGTTTGACTTTGGATTAAGTGGATGTCCCAACAAACTATCCACAAAACTTTGAAATTATGAGCAAATTGGAACAAAACGTTTTTTTGAGGCTTTAAAAAGGTTTTCGTCTCATTTTTGAAGTGTTCGAATCCCTGACAAGTAAGACCGGGCAAAATTGTCTCGTCAAGACCAAAAAACTCGAACCAGTTTTGAAACCATTTTGGAAAGTTTGATAGGCAAGTTTGATGAAAAAGGATAAATCAGGAATGTGTTACTGGTCTAAAGAAGAAAACATTGAACCACTCCTCTTTGTAGTCCACATAATTGATTTTTGATTCAAATGAATTTGTCTTTGAAATGTTCATTATTTTGTCTTCCCAAGAGTGCAGTCCCCAATCTTCATAAGACCAAACTCTTTGGATAGAAATATTTGAAAAATCAATATGTTTTGAATTTTTATTGTTTGGTGTGTGAGTAATAATGACATATCTTGTTTTGATGAGGATTGCTTCATAATACTTACGTGATTTTTTGATATTTGAAGGGAGAAAATGGAAATTTGGGGGGGAAAAGTCTTGAAGGTGGTCTTCTAGAGAAGAGGTTCTTTGAGCCCATGNGGGGGGAAAAGTCTTGAAGGTGGTCTTCTAGAGAAGAGGTTCTTTGAGCCCATGATGTTTCCATTTCGAAAACAGGAAAATGGACTGGTTTTGTAAAGTATGAAAATGATTTTGGAGGGTTAACATCGAGTAATTTTCCCCAACCAATTTGAAGAGCTTTGCGATAATTTGAGGGTTTATTTTGTGGAATTGTTTGAGTATTTGGAATGTCTTTGAAGCAAGGGTTGTATTTTGAGAGCTAGAGGATGCTTCTTTTTGATCCTCTAAACGAATTTTGAATATAATCATCAATTGAAGTAAGGAGAATTTGAACTATCTTTTTGTTCTTCTTCTTTTTTGAAGAACTCACTTTGTTGTGTAAGAACTCTCTTGAAGAACCCTATATATAAAGAATTTGAAAATCAAAGCAAGATAGAATTGCTTGCCATCTTGCAAAAATATGTTTTGAAACAAGGTTTTTTACGTCTTTTTGCAAAACGTCTTTTGAAACTTTACATTCAGTTTTGAGAATAAAATTTTTATTGATAAGATCATCTTGAAATTTTGAGATCACAAGGAAGATTGCGAGAATCTCCTTTTTGACAGTGGAGTAATTTTTTTGAGTAGTCCGAACTCCTGAGTGGAATCTGACAAGTTGTTCATGGCTTGAATTTGAAGGGACCTGTTTAAGGACACCACCGTACCCAAGGTCTGATGCGTCTGTCTCCATAATAATAGAGGTACTAGGGTCAAGTATTGAAAGACACTGGATGCTTTTAACAGCTTTTTTGATTTTTTGGACTGCCAAGGTACACTCGTGACTCCAAGGGTCAGGTTGCTTTTGTAGTCTTTGGAAAAGAGGGGCACATAGGATTTTTATCTCTTTCATAAAGTCTCCTATATAATTGACACAACCAAGAAATCTTTGAAGACTATTTTTATCTAGAATTTCATCAGCAAATTTATCAGTGAAATATAGATTTCTTTGAATTGGTGTAAGTGTTCCTAAATGAATGGTATGACCAATGAATCTTATCTTTGTTTGACATAAAACAACTTTTTTAGCTGAAACGGCTAAACCATTTTGTTTAACTATACGAATGAATGTATGCAAATGTTTAAAATGTTATTCTAAGCTTTCTGAAAAGATTAAAATATCATAAATGTAAACAATAATGAAATTTGTAAATGGATTGAAAATATCATTCATAATTTTTTGAAATTCAAAAGAAGCATTTTTGAGACCAAAAAGCATAACATTCCGTTCGTATTGACCGAAAGGAACGTTAAAGGCAGTTTTTTATATATCTTCTTCTTTAATTTGAATTTGCTAGAAGCTTGACTTCATATCAAATTTTGAGAAGATGACGACTTTGAATAATATTATTGAAGAGAAACAATTGTTAATATGGGAGACTTAAGTTGAATCAGGGTACCAATTTTGTAACGACTCGACCTCGTGCCGGAGCCATTATCATATCTTACGTATTGTATGCTTTGGGAGGGCCTAGCCCATCTTACCCCTCACGGATTTCTGAGGCATCCCCCAAGATTTGAACCCAAGACCTCCATCATATGGGGACTTAAGTTGAATCTTGGTACCAATTAGACAAAAAAATGAGCGTTTTTAACGACCCGTCCTTGCGATGGAATCGTTATCATATCATACGTACTGTCCGCTTTGGGAGGGCCTAGGCCCATCTTAGTACTGTCCGCTTTGGGAGGGCCTAGGCCC